TTGGGACATAAAACAAATCACAAAAAATATACCATAATAATTTATGGCAAAATTTTGTATAGATTTGCACAACCCTTCCCCAACCTCCAAATTTGTACATCATTTTGTATAAATTATGCATTATTTTTGTATAAATATAAAATTTTATACATTATTAATATATAAATTCGGGGAGACTTGTTAAAATTTTTTTTTTGCTATGTACTTTAAATGTAAAACATTTTTATAATTGTCAATTTTTTGTTTAAAGAAAGGCAGTTTTAAGTTTTTCATCCATGATTTTTTATCTGTTGTTTGAAATTTTAAACAATGATAAGCAACAACTATTAAATTTGCTTCGTTGTTTTCATTTTTGAAAGTTTTAATGAAATTTTGACAAAGTTTAATAGCGCGTTCTGCATTGCAATTTACAACAAGAAGACCAGTGACAGATTTTATCTTATATTATATAAATCTTATAAAACCTGGAAATAAGTTACAATTTGATAAACTGGCTATTCGCTATTCTTGATATACAATTTGATAAACTGGCTATTCGCTAATCTCAAAAAAATCTTTTTTTTAACAAATCAAAGAAAAACCATGTTTCAGGTATAAATATTTTTTGGCATTTTTTTTTTACATTGTCAACTAAAATTTCAGAATTTAGTTTTCTCATCATATAACTAGCTGTTTGATCTAATTTATGCAACTGATCTAATTTATGCAACTGATCTAATTTATGCAACTGATCTAAAGGTACATTCTTCTTATATCTACAACAAGAACAGCTAGGCACATAATCACAAATCTCTCATTTAAATACCAACTATGCTTTAACTGTACGTTAAAGACTGAATGTTGATCATTTTATTAACAGCTTTAAGATCTATATAAGGTGCTATTGCATGGATTGAAGTAATAAACTACAAAACTAAATTAGTACTGAATTTTTTTCTTATTTCTCTTTGTTTTTTTGCAAAATTTTATCTTTGAGCAACGTTTTTTGTTTTTCATTAAGTATTTTTTGTAATTCATTAAATACATCCTCCATCATTCTTTAAAAATTTTCTCTGTTTAAACCACATTCTATCGCCCAAATGGTTTTTGCATTTTTTTAAAATACTTCATATTATAAGATTTTCGACTATTATAAGTCAAAAATCTTGTCTCTAAATGGCAAATCAAAAGTAGAAGAATTCATTAAAACATCATTAAAACATTTTTAATGATGTTTTAATGAATTTTTTAACTTAACACATTTAAATCTTGATAATTTTTATCATGAAAATTTACTTTTTTATTAAGTCAAAATAAAATTAGACTGAATTTAAAAATATACTATAATATAGTACACACCTGTGTGATATGTACCTTATATATTTTGTATTTTTAGTGAAAAAAAATAAAAATCTAAATGTCAAAGAAGTAGGTCATTAAAACAAGATGTGACACTAATGTGTGGCTAATTGGTCATTAATTACCAGTTCTAGATAAACTAAGTTGTTCAAGCTGTTTGCCCACAGTTCGTCTTGTCCTACGTCGCTTCTTTTATGACTTGAACAAGATGGAAAACAAAATGGAACTTTCACAAAGCTGTTCGAATACTATTGATGAGGTTTTACAAATTTGGTTTATTGCCAATGTTCCAACAACAAAAAAAGGAATGTTATTGCTAAACTAAAAGTATTGTATAACTCTTATGTTAAAATAGGAAAGAACAAGCCTCGGATAACTGAAAAACAGTTAAAATTGGAAACTGATTGGATAAATAAGTTGAGTAAGCTATTTGATGTGGCCCATGCAGATTGTGACAGAATTACTAACAGGATATAACGTTTCTAAAAGACCAAAGAGAAAAAAAGAAAATGGTAATGGGTTCGAAAGATTTAGAATTTAAAGAATGTGAAAAAAAAACGAGGTATCAGCATTTCCAAGAAGAACATCTCAAAAAAAGGCAACTGAAGTGAAAAAATATATCAAAACTGGATCGGTTGAAAAAATTTCCATCACCTGTTTCTTCATATTCAGATTCAGAATATGAAGAAACTGGTGATGAGGAGCTCCTATTTAGCAAGTATCACCAGCAAAAGTCTAAAAAGATCGTTATATTAGAAAACCACCCTACTGAAACTCTAACTAAACAAAATAAAAAATTAGCACCCAAATCACGTAGTGTTATTAATAGTTCATTATTTATTGCTAGTCTTGATCGTACAAAAAATACATCGGTACAAGCAATGCACATTGTTGGGCCAATTCTCAAAGCTGTTGGGATGGACATAAAAGATGACTCTATCTACAAGCTCAATATACAGAGCTCATAAAACAATTAGAAAATCTATAGTTCAAAACATTCAAGAAACATTTGTGCTAAATATCCCCCTAGTTGCCCATTTTGACAGTAAAATTCAACCAGACACATATGGAAACCTGGCTGACAGGATGCCAATTGTTATATCAGGTTTAAATAATGAAAAACTATTGACCATTCCTAAACTTTCCATGGGTACTGGTGAGCTTATGGGAAACTCAGTTGTTAAAGCATTGGAAAAATGGAAAGATGTTCAAGATTGGCTGGCAGGTGTTTGTTTTGACACAACAAGTTCCAACACTGGTGTTCACACTAGTGCAATTACTATCATTCAGCAGGCAAATGATAAACGTTTACTTTTTTTAGCCTGCAGGCATCATATCCTTGAAATTATTTTGGCTGCAGTATTTGACCAGTTTTTCCAGTCTTCAGGGTGGAATATTGGAATATTACAGATTGGAATATTTTGTCGGTTCAAGGAACGCTGGAAACTTATTGACACTACCTAATATAATACAATTGAGACTTCTGAAATTAAAGTCAAATCTGAACTTACAGTTGGTGAATGTGTATGGCTAAACCAAAAGAAGAAAAATATATCAGAATTTCTTAGGAATCAACTCTCCCATAAAAATAAATCATGAAAAGATTACCTGGAGCTTATCCAACTGACCCTTATCACATTGGGTGAAAATTATGACGCGGCTCATTTCAGTTCTCCAGATGCCTATCATCGTGCTAGGTGGATGGCAAAAAGAATATACTGTCTTAAAATCTATTTGTTCCGTAGACAATTCAAACTTACAGCATACGAACTGCAAGGTCTTCGACGTATCTGTCTTTTCATTATTACGATTATGCAAAAATCTGGCTTAAAGCTCCAAACAGTTTTGATGCTCCATACAATGACCTTTGTCTACTCCAAACTCTCGAGTCTTATCTTGCTGTAGACAAAAAAGTAGCAGATATTACAATTAAAAAAATGAGAGGACATATGTGGTATTTGAGCGAAGATTTGATTGGACTTAAATTATTTTCTGACTTGGTTCCAAATAGTGAGAAAGAGGCTATGATTGTTGCTCTGAAGAAACCACCAATCAAAACTGATCTCAGAAGAGTTGATTCAAAATTGACAACTTTCAGGAAAAGACTTTGTCAGATTTTGTTACTCAAAGATCAATGAATCTGTTCACTGCGCTTAAAATTTAACCTATTTTTCTTACTTATAATCCAGCTGCATGGGTTTTCTGTCCTGTCTATTTCACTGCCAAGCAAAAAATAGCAAGCATGAGAGTCAACAATGACTGTGCTGAGCGTGCTGTTAAGTTAGCAACAGACTTCAATAATGTACTAACACTTAATGAAGCGGAATGACAGTTAATATTTCAGATTGTTGAATACCACAGAAAGCTCATGACCATTCCTTTAAAGAAAAACTTTAAAGCAGAATAGCAAGTGATCATTTATTACTGTTGAAAAACTTTAATAACACATTGTATAACACACTTATTAAATATGTTGTAACATTTATATTCAATCAAACATATGGGATATAAATGTTTACTTTTTTCTCAACATTTATTTTACAATTTTGAATCTTTTGAGCAGTCACTAAAACACATTATTTAAGCTTACAATTTTTAACTTATTTTCCTGACCACAAACCACATCAAATTAGAGGGTAGCCCAATTAAAATTCAAAAATTATTTTTTTTATATAAAATTTTGAAATGGTCTAACATATATATATATATATATATATATATATATATATATATATATATATATATATATATATATATATATTGTATGATATTTTGTATTTGCAATAAAATACAAAAAAACTTTAGGCAGCCGTTTTTAGGTTTTTGTTTTTGTTTTGTTTTGACGACGGAGCACATTCCACTGTAACTTTATATTTTAACGGTTTTTTTTGTTTCTTGTTTTGTATTACATGGCTGATGATTGCCTTTAGGCATGAAACTATTAGTACCAAAAAAAGTTGTTTTCTTTATTTTTATAAATTAATATATATATATATATATATATATATATATATATATATATATATATATATATATATATATATATATATATATATATATATATATATATATATATATATATATATATATATGTATATATATATATATATACACTCTAAATTAAAAAGTGTTAAATTACACCAAAACGGTGTGCAGCATGAAATACACCAAAACGGTGTTAATTAACACCGTTTTGGTGTTTTTCATGCTGTACATCGTTTTGGTGTTAATTAACACCGTTTTGGTGTATTTCATGCTGCACACCGTTTTAGTGTTAATTTACACCGTTTTGGTGTTAATTAACACCGTTTTGGTGTTAATTTACACCGTTTTGGTGTTAATTTACACCGTTTTGGTGTTAATTTACACCGTTTTGGTGTTAATTTACACCGTTTTGGTGTTAATTTACACCGTTTTGGTGTTAATTTACACCGTTTTGGTGTTAATTTACACCGTTTTGGTGTTAATTTACACCATTTTGGTGTTAATTTACACCGTTTTGGTGTTAATTTACACCGTTTTGGTGTTAATTTACACCGTTTTGGTGTTAATTTACACCGTTTTGGTGTATTCTATGCTGCACACCAACATATATACACAACATATATGTTTTATGTATAAAACATATATACACAAATAATTATTTATAAAAATACAAAAAATTCATATTTATATTCTATTCATAAAAAAGCTGTGTTAAGATACGATAAAAGTTTTACATTATTATTTTATAATATCTATAAGATTTAAATAAACAATTACAATAAAGATTTTAATAATTGATTTGCCTTTATTGATAAAGGGAGACTTTTTTTTAAAAGAGCAACTGACAACATTTCCCAAAATGTTTTTGAACCTGAAGGATACTCCAGGTTAAAGGCATAAAAAAAGCATAATTTAGCGTGTATAATGTCAACAAGAAAATTTTTCTGGGCGACCACAACACCTTCAATACATAGAATGTGTTCTTCTCCTTCGAGGTAGACTGTGGGCTGCATGTCGGCAACCTCAAGTTTTTGCTTCACAATAACAGAGCGAGGATTTAAATAATGATTGATAGCCATCAAAAGTTTGTCATCATCATATTCCTAATATCATTAAAAAAGTATTAATAAACATTTTTTTTAAATCCATAAATAAACAATTTCATAATTTTTAATTTAATTAATAGTTCCTGTAATAAAAAACCCTAAAAACAAGCTAAACTTTTATGTTTGCAGCAAAAAAATAAATTCAAACTATATTATGACATACTTGTGGTGTCTTTAGAGCTTTTCTCAGAAGATGTCTGTTTGAAGCTAAAAAAGCTCGGCAAGTTGGAACTTTAAGACCAACATCCAATTCAACCTCTTGATGCCAGAGTTCCTCGCTATGAATGATAGCCGGAAAGCGTTTTATAATATCAGCAACTTTAGGGAAACTAATGGAAATCCACTCTTTACGTTGACGAAAAGTATATCTCATACGTTTTTTGAGAAAATCAACATCTTGCTGGCATTTCCTCATCTCAGCCTGCATGGCTAGCTCATGAAATTGATAGCTGAAATCATCTTCACCATCATTATCCAGATTATGTGTTACAGTTGTAACCGAAGGTGTTTGTATTTTACGCCTAAACACAGAGATATACACACATAAATTTTGATATATAAATATCTATCTATATGCATCTATTTATCTATCTCTATCTATCTATCTATATATATCTATATATCTATCTATCTATCTATCTATATCTATATATCTATATATCTATATCTATATATATATATATATATATATATATATATATATATATATATATATATATATATATATATATATATATATATATATATATATATATATATATATATATATATATATATATATATATTATATATTATATATATATATATAATATATATATATATAATATATATAATATATATTTTTTGGCATGCAGACACTGTAAGAGATTCAGGTTGGCAGTTGTATGCTATTGTAAAGCAAAGATAGGTCGGCTTTTGCGTCGGCATTGCCTAATGCAGTCCCTAACCCAAACAGTAAATGAGTGGACTACCCCTTATGAGTGGACTAATCCTTTATGATGCTCTCCCTAAGTCAGTCAATGTGTGTACTAATTACCTTTCATACAAGTTGCTGACCGAAAAAAATGACATTTTTTACAAAATAAAAATATATTTACAGTGCCAATAAAAACCGGGTACACAAAAATGTCCCTGTAATTATGTAGCAATAACAATTTTGGTATAATTATGATTTATTTATTACTTACTTGCACTGAAAAGCTTTTTTCGTTGGCACTAAGTTTCTTCTAAAATTCTTAAACTTGTTCGTTAGACACTTAATCCACATTGAGCCATCTCCATTTATGTCTATGAGGGTTGGATACTGTAGAAGCATTTTATTCACTATTGCCCTCAGATCCTCGGGATAAGGATACCTTTTTAAAGAAAAATTAATTTAAAATTACTGTTAACAAATAAGCCAAAACGATTTTAGCAACCCTCGGAATTAGAAAAACTAAAGTCTTAAACTGTTTTAGGTCAGCATAAGGTCGGCAAATAAATTTCTTCACAAAGGTTTCACCATTAAAAATAGAAACAGGTCGGCAAAAAATTACTGATCTCAAACACATTTATGTCGGCAATTAGATCTGCATTGCTGAATGCTGACCCTAATAATGAGGGTTATTTTAGGTAAAATTATGTTTTGCATTTTGATTTAAAATAATGTCAAAGTAATAAAAATTGGAATAAATATTAATATACTAACAATGTGGTTTTGCAAATTGACAAAAAAAGCTGATCTACAATCTGCAATCTTGTGGAGGATGTGAAATTGACTAGGTTAGGTTGATTTTCAATAAATTGAGCAGATAAATCAGGAAGCTCCAAGGTTAGCCTCTTACGATAAACACTCAAACTTGATGTTTTTTTAGATGATTGGGTTAAAGAAATATGCTTTGAAGTCAATGGTGGTGAATTTAATGATATGTTGCTTGTATTTTCAGCCTCCATTACACTAAAAATCACAAAAACAATGCAATTAAAATTAACATAAAATAAATAAACAGTGAAACTAGATTAACATAAAAGTCAAATATTGTATGCAACAATTATTCATCATCATCATTGTCATCGTTTAAGCGTCCTTGTTTCCGTGCTTGCACGGGTTGGACGTTTCTCACAATGCCATTTCTCAAGCATACACGATCTTAAACATCTTTTCCTTAAATGAAGCTTTTTCAAATCATCTGAAATACACTCTTTCCAAGTTTTTCTGTTTCTACCTCTACCTTTTTCTCCTGAAACTTCTAACAATCTACATGCTGATAACCAGTCAGTGAAAACTATTTTTATTAAGTGATATGCATGTAGATTAAAAGGCCTAGTGTAATTTGCATTATTATAATGCAATTTTACACTACACCTTTTAATCTAGATTAAACACATGTAGATATCTACATATAATAATATAATAATGATTATATTATTATATTCAAATATTATTATTGTTATTATAATATGTTATTATAAGTTAATGTTATTAATATTATAATAAATTAAGTAGTAGTTGCTAATAAAAAACTCTTTAATTTTATTTAAACTCAAAATAAAAAAGATTATTATCACGTTGTTAATATTAAATTAAGCCTTAATTTGATAATAACAACGTGATAATAATCTTTCTTACTTTGAGTTTAAGTAAAATTAAAGAGTTTTTTATTAGCAACTACCTAAATAAGCTTTAGTATATTATAAATTATTGTGAATTAGTATACTACTTCACTATAACTCAAACTATTTCCATTTCTCCTCATAAAACAATCTTTCCAAATTCTTTATTAACCACCTTTTCACGTATTATAATCTTTATATCCGCGTACTACAGCTGTATCGTTACCACTTTTTTACATTTAAAACTTTTAAATTTTTTACATTTTAACCCTTTCGTTACCGATACCCCGCATAGCGGGTAATAAAATATGTCGTTAAAATACCAGTACCCCGCATAGCGGTGGATAAAAAAGTTTTGTTTTCTGTCAACCCCGGGTTTTTGAGCAACTTTAAAACTTAGCTTAATAGAAAATAGAATAATAATCCAATTATACAGCGAAGAAAGCTTTGTTAGATTAGCTGATATTTAATTTTGAATAAGTAATATTTTTATATTCACCAAAGTTAAACAAAATACTTGTTCCTGATGGTACTATACACAGGCCTACTTGGTGTCATTTCCCAGTAACCAAACAGCCATCACACGATGCAACAGATAGACGTCCATCTAAATTATGCAGAGTATGCTATGCACGACGAACTTTTAATAACAATGAAAAACATGTGCATGTATGCCAAACTGTGCATGTATGCCAAACTTGCCCCTGTGAGCCAGGGTTACATATTTATAGCTGCTTTGAAATCTATCACATAGTGCTAGATTTGGTGTAAAAATTAGTATATACCCATGTTTATTTATTTGACATATCTTACTGTTGTTACTTTTTGATTTTATTATTTTTATTTGTTCTTTTTTGAAGAAAGCATCATAATTTAAATTTTTGACCAAAAGACTCACTAACCTAATAAAATTAATAACTTACGATAAAATGTTTATGACTTGAACCTTTACAGAATTACTTATTATATATGTCTGATTGTTAACTCTAAATTTGAAAAAATTTTGATCAAAATAAGATACATTTTTATTTTGTTCAATTTACAAATAAAATATTATTTAGTTTTCAAAATCCACCATTATTAATCACAAGACCTAATGATTTTTTTTTTCTTAGTTTTTGTTTTATTTTATGAAAGATAAAATCCTATATATTAAAAAGAAGCCAATTTTTGGAGAAATTGAACCTTATTAAACCCATAATATATATTTGATGGTAGTTGGGTTAAAACATCCTTTTTTGTCACGGTAATATAAGGTTTCCGAGCCCGGTAATGAAAGGGTTAAATGGTTTAAACATTCACGAGCACTTTTTTTTTTTAGCGTTTTGCTAACTTTAACCCCCCCACCCCCACCTCTTATGTCACAAAGGTGTTTGTGACCTAAGTGACCGCGGGTATATATTTCGGCAACCCCCCTTTCCTTTGATCGTATGTCACATTTCAAATTTTAAACTTTTTGAAACGGTATAGTGAATAAAAAAAAGATGTTATTTTACACCGTTTTTGTAAGAAAAAAACCTTCAGAGTGTATAATTACACCAAAACGGTGTATATTTACACCTTTTGCTTAAATCGTTTTCAATAAACACCGTTTGAGGCTATGTTATCACCAAAACGGTGTAATTTTACACCTTTTTGGTGTAATTACAAAACGGTGTAATTTTACACTTTTTTGGTGTAAATCGAAAACGGTGTAATTTTACACCGTTTAATTAAAACGGTGTAAAAATAGAAAAACTTTACATTATTCAAGTTTTAAACCTTTTTGAAACGGTGTAGTTAATAAAAAAAGGTGTTATTTTACACCGTTTTAATAAGAATACATCTTCAGAGTGTATAATTACACCAAAACGGTGTAAATTTACACCTTTTGCTAAAATAATTTTTAAAAAACACCGTTTGAGGTTATATTTACACCAAAACGGTGTAATTTAACACTTTTTAATTTAGAGTGTGTATATATATATATATATATATATATATATATATATATATATATATATATGTATATATATATATATATATATATATATATATATATATATATATATATATATATATGTATATATATATATATATATATATATAATATATATATATATATATATATATATGTATATATACCATCAGGTGGGGCATTATGGCCAGTTTAGTATATATATCAGTTTTTTGCTAAAATCTGGTAAAGAAAAAAATACATGCACACATACATACATACCAGTGGTGTACACTAGATTTTTAGATGTTTGAGTTTTGACACTTACAGGCATTGTGCAAACTCCAAACTTTTGTATGTTTATGCTTATGTCAAATAAAAATGTTTTGCAAAAAGTTGCGGCGATTGGAGCTTAGAGACAAAAAAAAAAACAATTTTTGGGCCCACACAGCCCTTAAAGCGGGAGCATCAAGTTAATAAAATAATTTCTTTAGTATTTTTATCTAAGTTTATATTCATCAATAAATTTCAAATTTCATGCAATAATCTCTTATTTTTCGAAAATTATGACCATATAAAGTTTTAACCTCCCCCTCAATTTGAGGGGTTTTTTATCCCCAAGCTTTAATCACCACAACTCTGTGCAAAACATTCTCATTTGACATTAGCATGAACATACAAAAGTTTGGAGTTTGCACAATGCCTGTAAGTGTCAAAACTCAAACATCTAAAAATCCAGTGTACACCACTGTAAATATACATATACATATATATATATATATATATATATATATATATATATATATATATATATATATATATATATATATATATATATATATATATATATATATATATATATATGTATATATATATATATATATATATATATATATATATATATATATATATATATATATATATATATATATATACATATATATATATATATATATATATATATATATATATATATATATATATATATATATATATACATATATATATATATATTTATTTATTTATTTTAAAATTAGTACAAATAATTCCGTATAAATACAAGTGTGCATTAAAATAGCCTATGTCCTATCATGTTTATTGAAGAATAACAAAAACACTTTTATGTACATCTTGTAGTGTAAATGTAATTTATACTAATGAAGAAGAGCTACATCAGGCTCTCCTATGTTGACCCAGTTAAGCTGCGAAAAGCAGTTGATCAAGAGATTTACAATAAAAATTTTTTAAAGAAATGTACAAATGGTGAATCAACTGCTTGCTGTGAAAGAGCGTTCCATTGTTTTGTTACTCTATTTGTAAAAAAGTTTTCTCGTTCAATGCAACCTTTGACTGGTTGAGGCATTAATCGCTGATTGTGTCCACGGAGATTGTAACTTGTTTTTGAATTTATTAGAGTTAGAGATAAATGAAAGTTAACTTCGTCAATCTGTTGAGTAAATTTAAACTGCTGGATTAGGTCACCTCGTTTCCTGCGATCCTCAAGCGATGTTAGTTTCAGCTTTTGTAATCTTTCCTCATATGGTAAATGTTTTATCTCAGATATTGTTTTTGTAACACGTCTTTGCACTTCTCCATCATCACAATATCTTTTTTTAGGTGAGGAGACCAAACCTGTACTGCAAAATCTAGATGTGGACAAATGTATGCAAGGTACAGTGTTTTCCACAAAACTAGTCTGCGGCTACAAAAAGCTTTTCGGAAACAATTGAACATTTGATTCGCAATTGAGACTGCTGTTTCAACTTGAGTTTTGACCTTTTTTATTATATTGTTATTGATTTATTGACTATTGTTTCCTCCAGTGTACAACAAGTTCCATCTAGCTGTGCCATTGTGTACGAATGTGTTGACTTGTTAGTGCGTCCAACATGCATAACTCTGCATTTATTGATGTTAAAAGGCATTAACCACTTGTGCGACCAGTCAACTATTTTATCTATGTCAGCTTGAAGAAGGTTGGCATTTTGCAGAGATTTGATGACTCCGATAATTTTACCATCATCGGCATAAGGTTTTGTGTGGTGTACAATGGTGTCAGGCAAATCATTAATAAATAAGACGAATAGTAGTGGACCAAGGACCGAGCCCTGTAACACACCACTAGTCATGGGGACCCACTCAGATGTTATTCCGTCTAATACTACTCTCTGTTGCCGACTAGTTAACCAATTTTTAACCCATTTAAGCAGGGTTTCACTAATTCCATAGGCTCGTAGTTTGGGTAACAGGCGCCTGTGTGGAACTTTGTCAAATGCTTTGGCAAAGTCTGTATAAATTACATCTGCAGAAAACCCTAGGTGCATGCTTTGTGTAAGTATGTCATGTGCTTCGAGGAGATTTGTGACACACCCTCATTTAGGAACAAATCCATGTTGAGCTTTGGATAA